ATCGATGGATGGTATATTGGATGTCGACCAATTGATTCACTTCTTTTGTCAACATTAAAATATTTTTATAATCAAGCAATGATTAATTCATTGTTACAAGTTTTTAATAATACATCATCAAATTTTACATGTTTAGATGCAAACAAAGAAAGTATATTTGATTTGAATACTACTTTATCAACTATAATTAAATCAGGTTTTATTGAAAAATGGATTGAAAATATAAATTATTCATTATATTTTAATCGTTGTGCACCAAAATTGTGTTTCTACACAATCAACAAACGTTTCAACATTTATTATATTATAACTGCAATTATTAGTGTATACGGTGGTCTTTCTACTGTTCTAAGTCTTATAATTCCAGCTATTGTAAAATCAATAACTCAACATAATGCAGAAACATCTCGCACAGATTATTCTTTTAGACGATTGAAACAACTAATTATTACTTGGCTTCGACAACTTATTGCTGCTCTTATTGAAATGAATCTTTTTCGTTCATCGACACGTCTTGAACCTTCAGATATTTATCAACAACGATGGTCAACTCGATTGTACGTTATTTTTTTGTCAATTTTTTTCATCATTATAACAATATACACAGCAGCAACAAAAGAAACAGTTCGTACAGAGTTAATTGAACCTTCGTTCGATGAAGTCTTAAATGTTCAGCAACAAACTAATTTATCATCACTTCAATGTCCATGTTCTCAACTTTCTTCACCGTTTAAATATTCAACTGAATTGATTCCTACCTATCACGAAATATGTGACAGCGACTTCGTATCGGACAAATGGATTCGTCTAATGCCACCTTCACTTATTTATGCTCCCTCCTATTTTGAACAAAGTGGACCTATTTTTAAACTCCTTCAATCATTTTGTAAATTAGCCAAGATAACAATAAATAATGCTCTTAATATATTTTATGCAAGACAATTAGTTACTCCAAATCTAATCACCGAAGATCTCTTCAAATCTCTAATGATTTCTGAAGGCGAATATTTCAAACATGTTACACCTAATCGTTTTTCTTATCTCTTGGAATTCATACGTCAAACAATCAAAGTTAATCAATTTATCTATGCTATATACACAAATTATTTTATATTGATGGAAAATGGCACAGGGCATGTGTTAGTTTACATTCATCCTTCTAAAGACTGGTATGATTTTAATAACCATATTGAATGTTCCCTTATCTTTGACCCAGTTTGTATATTGCAAACAACTTTAAATAACATGGGTATACACGGATATATCATGGGTGCACCTTTATCTGGCTTCTACACATCCGTATTCTATGTTAATTCATTACTATTAACACAACTCCAATGTTTATATAATCAATCATGTGTTAACATTATTCGTAATGTAATTAATGAATCTTATCCACATACTTTCACAGCATTATCTCAAACAAGTCGCTTTCCAAAGAACGTCACCATCGATTTTCTTTCAAAGCATTTATTTACTGAGTCTTGGTCGCAAAACCCAAATTATAAGGGCTATTTTGAACAATGTCAACCTCATTCATGTTCGTACACAACCAATCAACGACGTACTTTCGTTTTACTCATGATGACTGTCATTGGTCTGTCTTCTACTGTATCTATTATTCTTCGATTTATATCACCATTTATTATATCTTTTATTCTTAAACGTTGTCAACAAACTCAACAAACAAGCTCTTCTGACGATATTCAACGAGATGGTAAATATTTTTTTGAAAAAAATCTCTTGAAAAAAATCTTTTGACTTGTAAAGCACGAATACATAGATGGACTGTGATCGTATCTACAGGTTTGATTGTAAAAAATCCACGAAATATTGAACTTTGATAAGGGATAAAAACGAACTTTTCTGATACCTTTCTTTTGTTACCTGACCATAAAGGGTTAAAATATTGACAATTAATGACATTATGGAAGATATACACGTATAAACCAACGAGTTTTTTTTCAAGTTTTCACTATTTATATCTACGAATATTGATGGGAGGATGTGGGTATGATGATATGCAATTGATGGCACTTCTAATCTATAGCTTTCACTGCATATCAGAACTTCCAAAGAACTCTTGTCGAAAATTTCTTTTATGATGCCAGTAATATGTATACACTTGATTGTAGGTCATTTTTCTATTCGAACATTTATCGTTAATATATGCAGAAAATCTCATCAAAAAATTATGACACTGAATATGTTCGAGAATGTTCATAAGCCTAATCCGTCTGATGAAGAATTGAATGCTCAACGAAACTGGACACGTGCATACATCGTCGTATTAATTGTAATAATGGCTAGTGTCATTTACATTACCATGCTGTCTTATCAAACAGTTACAACCATTGTGGACAAACCAACATTAGATGAATATGCAAATCTACCAAAGTCAGCTGATTGTCTTTGCACCAACCTGTCTATTCCTTATCGCACTTTCATTAATTTCAATCCACAATTTCACGAAGTATGCAAAAGCCATTTTATTGAACTAAATGGTAAATGGATGTCATTACTTTATGATTCATATAAATATCAACGATTTAATAAACGAAACCTTCGTACATTTCAACGTATGGCATTATTTCATTTTCAGGCAATACAAGCAATGTGTAGAATGGTTATATTGGCTGTCAAAAATGAACTTACTCTCTTTTTGAACTCGACTTTAACCACTGTTGAAATACTTGAATCAGATTTATTTGAAAAGAAAATAAATGCTACTATCAACAATTTTTGCTTAAATACGATGCGCTCAAATTTTCTTTATTCGTTACAATTAATTCGAAATATGTACTCTGGAAATGGTTTAATTTCAGGACTTACTACAAACTGGTATCCAGTGGTTGCGTTTAAGGCAACTATTGGAACGATCTATATGAAAGCTCAAAAATATAATCTATCTTCATGCAATTGTGCGACAATGCCAGCTTGTGTGGAATCAATGTCTCTTGAATTGAACTCAGGATCCAACTGGACAGTACCAGGAATGATGATTGGTTGTTTACCTCTTGAATCAATGCTTGAATCAACATTAGAATGTATATATGATCAAGATTGTCTCAATACAATAACTGAAACGTTATTGAATGAGCCAATACGACCGCTTTCCTCTGCTCGAACTCGCTTTAAACCAATTAATACGACAAAACTTATAACAATAGCTAGTGAACTATTTATCGAAGATTGGGGTATTGAATTTGCTTATGAAAAGTATTTTACTAGTTGCCAACCTAAAACTTGCTCGTATACATCATCAGAACGATTCCGTATTAAGGATTCAATGGGTACAATTTTTACCATCTATGGTGGCATCTGTATTTTACTTCAGTTTATTATTCCGATTGGATTTAAATTGGTACATAAATGTTTTTCTCGACGAACTAGACAAATTACAGCAATGGATACTTCTTAATCGAGATTTTTATTCCGATAAAATCCATCAAAAACATTTCCTTCTAATTGAGAACAATAACAATAAGCTTTTTGTATATTTATATATTCAATACATATCTTTGCTTTAATTCGAAAAATATGTTTTTTCATTTTCCTATTCAAAACAGTTTTTGATTCGCACAGTTACAAGTTCAGCAATATAATTGATCATTTTATTGAGGATGGATGTGAGTGTATGAGACAGAAAAACTGAAAACTTTAATTAAATCAAATAAATATAGACATGAGTATTTGATAAAAACTTTGTGTGATAAATTTTATCTCTAATGGTAATGTTAGTTTTTTTGTATTAATAAAATAGAGTGCGGGCGAGGGTGAGGACGGTTATTTTTTGATTACTCACATCCACAGCCTCAAGATGGAACATCATTCTTCTTTATCTCACATCGCATCTCATCATATTAATTATACATTATAATAGTATAGATGAAATGATATATGGATCACAAGAGCGAACTAAGACGAAATGCAGAAACAAAAAGGATAGAAGAATAAAGTAAATATAACTGTAGATGTGCAACATCACGTTGGCACACATCCACACGCTCAAGATTGCATGGCAATGGATACCAGAAACATATGAGCTTTTTGAAAATAATAATATCTTCAGTTGATCGATCTCGATAATTCTATTTCCAATGAAATGCTCATCATAATCAGTTATTCGCTATTTGTACATTATTTTGTTTATCTATAAATAATTTACCATGATCAAATATCGAAAATCATCTTGAGGGTGTAGGTAGATTAGATAAGATACACTCAAACCTATTCTCTACATTAAAGCTATCTGTATTACAAACATTGGAAGCATCAATATGATGGAACATTGCGAATAAACGTTGAAAATCTCAATAATATTGAATAGTATAAAACATTAATTCCGAAGAGTTCTATAGAAATGCATTGACAACATAGAATTTTACATTTGTACTCTGTATGACTGGAATACTAAAAATGAATGGAGAAATTTCTTTGAAGCATTTTTCCTTCAGTGAACTTGCACTACATATTTCATTTGTTATTGTTGGTAGAAATAGCTAAGGAAATCAACTGAATGTTCCCATGAGTTTACCGTTTGATGGTGAAGGAAATCTTTATGTTACCGATCGTTGGAATCATCGAATCGAAAAATTTGAAATAGTGTTGTAAATGAGGTTTTGATTTAAGAAAAAGAAAAAAATTTTATTGAGTAAATAATCGAGAAATAAAAGAAAAAGTGAAGTTTTATTGTTAAATATCCATGAAAAAATCGATTAGAATTTGTAAAGAAAAAAAATATTTTACGAAAACTTAATAATAAAAATGGAATTGAAATGAATTTTATTAACGAAAACAAATGTTGAAAAGATTTTTCTTTAATAAATTAATAAACATTGAATTGAAAAATAATTTATCGAAATGAAATCAATGAAAACAAATTTTATTTGAAATTTCAAAATAAACCAGTAAATATTTTCATTTAGATGAAAACAGAAGAAAAGAATTACGAAAAAAAATGAACAAGAGATAGAAGGGTGCCAAGGTATAGATGTAAAGTAAAAGTAACCACACTGGTACACACGCCCACCTACTCACACTCACACTTGTATCTCTAATATTTTCATGAAATCCCTTAAAACATGTACTGTTAGCATTATTTTTAATAGGACGAACTCTTCATGTACGCGTTTTCATAACATGACTGAATTTTGTTGATCTCGCAACTAAATTGCTGTTATAATTGTTTAATTGATAACTGGTATATTTATCACTGTATCACGACAATCAACATCACACATATACCACTTTACAATGAGAAAAGAGAAAAGTCCGTCGTATCTTGATCGAAAACTCGAAGAGAGGCATTATATTATCGTGTATCCTGGTAGTTATGTCACTAGTCAAAGAACAAGTTAAATTAGGAAAGTAGCAATTATATATGTGCTGATATATTCTATGAATTATATTTTCGTTACATTACAATTAGAATATGTTGAAATCGGCTACGCATCATGTGACAGGCATTACATGTATGTTCAATTTATCTTGAGTAAGGATACATTCCGATAAAATCTTGTTGAGTTTTTCTGATTTTCAAATGTAAATTGTCTTTTATTTTTCTTTGCTTCATGGTCAGTATCATATTACAATGTCACAAGGTAGCTTTTTAAATTGCCTTTTTGTAATCAATCGTAGCTATTTTTAAAAGATTTTTCTCTTCTTTGTCGTAAACGAAATGTAATTGATATCTATCATAAACTGAGAAAAAATCCAGAGATACCAATTTTTGAAGTTAAAAGAAAAAGAAAAAGAAAGACTATATATAAGACAATGGATACCATTTAATCTTTCATATTTTTTTCGAAACAAAGACGACATACTAATACACAGTCAAGGGTATGGATATTATTTCATAAGAGTCAGAGGAGACATTTTACAATATTGAAGATCTGTAAAAAAAGAAGAAGATTTGAAGCATATTTGAAACGATCATATAAATTTTAGTACTCGATTTTATTTGGATTATCAATGGCAATTATCCTACAAAGAAGTTGTTGATAACATATTCTATATACTTTGAGCTCTTTGCTAAATCAAGGTTTCATTCATAGTTAGATAAATCTGTCAAAAGACAATCAGGTATCATTGTCCTCCATAAGTCCGACAATTGACATAATATATGTTTGTGTTTAAGCGTGGATGTAGCAAACGAGTGACATCAACACCCACAACTAAATCCTAAGATTCAATATTCCGAAGATATTTTAATCTCAATGATAAGTATCTTTCTTATTTCTACATGATTCTAGATTATTCTTTTCTTCCATCAATTCACAATGTTATTTCCAAGATAATGGAACTGATTCCACTTCTTGAAACTTCTATTGAATCTATTAGCAAAAGAAATGACAATCATCTTGAAAGCTTTAGTCTTATTTGGCTTAATAATAATGAAAATGTTGACATACAAAAAGAATTACGTAATATAATTAATCATATTGAAACATTTCATGATGTTGAAGAATGTAAAGATTATATTGAAAAAACATCAGAAAATGATCGATTAGTTCTTGTTACAAATGGTGAATTCGGTCAACAAATTATTCCTTCAATTCATCAATTAAGACAAATCTCATCAATTTATATTAATTCAGAAGATAAACAATGGACAAATGATTTTCCCAAAGTAAACAAAAAAGTATTAATAAAGTTTAATTTCAATAATTATTTTTCTAGGTAAAAGGTATTCATGTTAAAATGGATGAACTGGTTTCACAAATCCATGAAGATCATAAAAATCTTCGAAAAATAGAGGAACCTGTATGGATGAATATGTTTACAACAATACGTGATGCAGGAAAGTCAACAACAGGAATCAATGGTCAATTTGCATTTTCTCAATTATTACTTGATTGTCTTCTTCGATTAAAATCAAATGAAAATGATCGAAACGAATTAATTTCATGTTGCGAAAAAAGAGAATATGAAGGAAATCAAAATGAATTAAATCGTCTTCATGAGTTTCAGAGAAGTTATTCATCGGATAATGTTTTATGGTGGTATACACGTGAATCTTTCTTCTATAAAACATTAAATGCGGCTTTAAGAAAACAAAATATTCATATGATTTATTTATATCGTTCATTTATTAGTGATATACAAAATCAATTACAAAATCATCAATGTCAATATGCCACTCGTGTTTATCGAAGTCAATTAATGTCAATTGATGAATTAAATTATCTTAAAAATAGTGTTGGACAATATGTTTCAGTGAATTCATTTCTTTCGACAAGTTTTGAAAAAGAAATTGCAAGTTTTTATCTTGGTGATACAAATCATCGATGGATCGATTTTGAAAAGGTTTTATTTGAAATTGATGCTGATCCAAAAGTTGTTACAACGAAACCATTTGCTGATATTAGTCAATTTAGTGATTTTAGCGATGAATCAGAAGTTCTTTTTATGCTTGGATCGATATTTCGTTTGAATTCAATTATTCGTGATGATCAAAATCAGATTTGGATTATTGAAATGTGTTTATGCAGTGATGATGAACATAATTTAAAACAAATTCTTATGGATATGAAAAATGAAATTGGAAATGGTGAAACAAATCTTTGTATTTTAGGAAAAGTTGTACGAAGAATGGGACATCTCGATTTAGCGAAGAAATATTATTATCGTTGTTTAGAGGAACTTTCACAAAATGATCCTTTACTTCTTACTGTTTATAAAGATTTGGCTAAAATTGCTTCTCAAGAAAAAGATTATGAAGAAAATCTTCGATTGAGACACATTTTAGCGAAAATCAAAGAGAAAATAAAATTGAATGATAATGAGATTGAGACAAGTGAAATAGATAAATTAACCTACAATAGTAAAACAAACATGTTCATTCTTTCAAATTTCGATACATAATATTAATCTGTCATTTTAGACACAGTACAAAAACGAAAATCAAAAAATTATATTCGAAGTAATTGGCAGTTAAAATTGTTGATATGTAGTTTTATTCTTATTTTGATGATTGGAACTGGAATATTTACAATACGATATATGATCACAAAAAAATCATCAATATCTTCAGAAAAACGGAGTAAGTCATTTTGATATAATTGATAAATCCTTATTTTTTTCAATGAGAGGATGCGGGTGTGGGTGAGTGGATATGGATGAGTGTCACACCCACACCCACCCCTACCTTCACACCTCACATCCTACACCCACATACATAGCTCCAAAACGTTTGAAATTGTCATAATACTAAAAGATTGATTATGTTTTTCTTTGTTATAGCACCGACCTGTACGGATGGTATTAAGAATCAAGATGAGACCGATGTCGATTGTGGCGGTGTAACTTGCTGGTTAAAATGTTTACCTGAGCAAGGTTGTGCGTCAAGCTCAGACTGTGCGTGTAGTAAATGTGATACAACAACGAAGAGATGCCTAAGTAGGAAAGATTTTTAAATCTCTTTATATTATTGATATATCGTGTTTGTTAGTACTGAAGGTATAGAAATAACAAAGTTCAATATATGGAGAGTAATGCCAAGGTTGATTCACTATAAGTTCTGAATAAACTAGTTTTGTCGAGAAGATCAAGTTAGTCAAAAACTAAACATTTCTTCAGAGTATTACTGCCCATCATACGACTGGTTAATACTAAGAAAAGGCGTAGTTTTGGGATAGAATGAAAGTTTAATGTAATATTCTAAAAACAAGTACTGCACAACGGAATGCCAAATCAGTATTCTATTTCAAAAATATTGAAGACCCGATTCTAGTCTTTCACGAAATCAGTTAAGATTGTAGAAGAACAGAAAAATGAATATTTGTTTAGATAGATATCCAATACAATAACGACAGTTGTAGAGTTATTTTCTAGTCAGGAATATAGATCCATGAAAGTTGTTTCTCAAACAGTTACACCCAAGAAACACTAGTCTGTCCTATAATAATGATATCAACTACATGCTATTCATCAAGTTTATCATTCTTTTACTCAAAAATAATTATTCACTCGAAAATTTTTCTGTTTGAATAAAAGCCTTCATTTTATATTAATAGTTTTCTGCTGTAATTCGGAATTCAGGATTAAGTACATCAGAGCTATTTTCTATTAGTTACAGTCTTAGTATTGTATTGAATCACTCTTATATCCATCATGCATTGAAGAAGATCTTTCGTATAACAGAAATATTCTCATTTTTATGTTTGTGAATTTTAATATATCAGATAGTACTTAGTTTTTTTCTTAACTATACATCTGTTTATGACTAATAAGCATAGTTACGGTTGTACACATAGATGAAATCGGTACCAGTGTGAACCCTAGATTGATAAAAGACAAAAATAAAATATAAAACTGTCATGGTTTTATAATGAAACTATAGCGGTTTTAGAACAGATTTAGTTGCAAGAATAACAAACAGAATTACAACTATAGCTTTAATAATACTTATGTAGTCTTTTGTTACCTTAATATCGTATTCTATTTTTCGAAGGTTTGAGGTCGTATATCGCATATTCAGCATTTACGCGTATACTTTGAGGTTCCTTTTCGCGTTGGCAATAACTGAGTCTCATCGACTGGTGTTGGCAGCATACTCTACTAGTAGTCCTTATTACATATCCAACAAGACAAATTTTGAACTGACGTTACAAATATAGGGAGCTAAATTGAATCTCGTTGAGATCTCGACGGAGTCCAAGTGGGCAACAGGTACTCATATGTATTTCGAAATAGTTTATCACATATATGACTAGTGATAGTAAACGACTGGCATCAGTAGCGTATTCTACTACTCGTCACTAGCGCAAACCTAAAGAGGTGTAATTTGATCCTGACTTTTGTACGTATAACATTAAAATGAAGTTTGTTCAGATCTACCTGGATCCCAGGTGCATGGAATCAGATTTAATCGATAGGGTTCGAACGAAATTGATTTTATTAAATTTAAAAAAAAAATGAGAAAAATTTGTTTGAGGTTCATATAAAATTTCTTTGAATCGAAGAAAAACTGATCTGTCTTAAAAGAAAAAAAGACAGTTTCATTTATTGAAAATCTAAACCTTTGAAAAAAAAAGTTATTTGAATTTCATCTTAAAAATTCTCAAAAGAAAAGTTTTATTATCTGAATAAAAAATGAAAAATAATTTTATATTACATAAAAAGCGAATTTTTTCTTGAAAAGTGCTTTCAATATAATTTATTTTTATTTTCATAGAAATTAAATATTTTCAATTTTTATTATTATTTTATTACATAAATCATCTCATTTTACTTTTTCTATAATATTTTTATAGTGATATAATAAGAAAAAAATAAAAGATGAAATTTATTTCTAATTGAAATATTTTAAATAGTTTTTAATTTATTTTATATTACGCAAACGTTTTAATTCAAATCAGGTTTTTTATTGACAAATTTTTTGAAATATTTATTTAACAAAAAGTAAATCAACAAAATCTTTTATCATTTTCAATCTTTGTTTTCTTCTCAAACTAAGTATTTGTCAATTTGTTTCCAAAAATAAATTATTGTTTAATTAAATTTCTTTCTCGTCTAAATTTCAAATTCGTTTTTCTTTTCAAAACAAAGTATTTCTTCATTTCATCTAACCAAATTTTATTCAAAAAATCAACAAAAAAAATTTTTTTACTAAAATTCTTCTCAAAATTCAAGAAAAAAATGAAATAAAATTTGTCTTTTCATCAAAGCATTTTTATCAACATTTCATTTAAAATTCAACTTTGACAAAAAATAAAATCAAAGTTTCATTGAAAGCTTATCTTTTTTTTGTTCAATGAAAAACAAGTTTTCTTCTTCTTCGGTTCGTGAAAATCTTTGTATTTACCATTTTCTAGAACCAAACTACAACAAATGGAAACAAAATGCCATTACCGTGGCTGGTGGAAATGGAAAAGGACAAGAATTAAATCAACTCTATAGCCCTTATGGAATCTTTATTGATAAAAACAAAAATATTTTCGTTGCTGATTTTGAAAATCATCGTGTTATTGAATGGAAATATAATGCAAAACAAGGACAAATCATTGCAGATAAAAATAACAGAGAAAATCGAACGAGTCAACTGGGTACTCCAACAGATGTGATTGTTGATCAACAAAATCATTCGATCATCATTGCTGATTATATGGATAAACAAGTGATTCAATGGTTGGATCAAAATCTAGAAATTCGCATTCACAACATTAATTGTTTTGGCTTGGCAATGGATAAACATGGATTTCTTTATGTTTCTAATTGGGCGAAGAATGAAGTGAGACGATGGAAAATGGGAGAATACGATAAAGGAATTATAGTGGCTGGTGGAAATGGGCAAGGAGACCAACTCTATCAACTCAATTCTCCTACTTATATCTTTGTTGATGAACATCAATCTGTTTATGTAGTAGATAGAGACAATCATCGTGTAGTGAAATGGAGAAAAGATGCAAAAGAAGGAACAATTGTGGCTGGAGGAAATCGTCAAGGAAGAAACCTCAATCAATTGTCTTCACCTGCAGGAGTAATTGTTGATGATTTGGGTCAAATATATGTGGCAGATTCTCGGAATAATCGAGTAATGCGTTGGTGTGAAGGAAAAGAAGAAGGTGAAATTGTTGTTGGCGGAAATGGTGAAGGAAATCAATCGAATCAATTGAATTATCCTCGTGATTTATCTTTTGATAATGAAAGAAATCTTTATGTTGCTGATGAGTGGAATCATCGAATTCAAAAATTTGAAATAATATTGTGAATAAAATGTTTTGTTAAATGAAAGATCGTGAAATAAAAATAAAAGAAATAATATTATTGAAAATGACTAAAAAAGTCGAGTAGAATTTAAAGAAAGGAACGAGGAAGAATCGTTTTAGTTGTTTTTCTTCAAAATTGAATTTATTTGATAATCTTGATTAAAAAAGTTTGAGTAAATGTTAAGTTTTTTATCTTTTGCTAATTTTGTTGAATTTTAGAGAAGAAGGAAAATATTTTGTAATTTAAATTGAATTAAAATAAAAATTATGCGAAAAGAAGAATCTATGTTTAAGAAAATAATCAAATGCTTTGAGCTTTTTTCGATTTGATGGAATTTCAGAATTGTTTGAAAACGAAGAGAAAAGAAGTGCTTTATGAAAAATTGATAATTAAAATGGAATTGAAATGAGTTTTATCGAACAAAACAAACGTTAAAAAGATTTTTCTTTAATAAATTAACAAATTTTATTTTTGTTCAAACTTTAACATATTTTTAATAAAAATTGAATTGAAAGAACATTATCGTATAGGTGAAAACAAAAAAAAGAATTACGGAAGAGAAATGAACAAGAGATTGAGATAAAAATGAAAAATAAATAAAAATTTTCTTTGTTCTGATCCTTGAATATCCAATCATTATGTATCGATGCTGAAATATATAAAAAAAAAGTTTTGAGATATTCCATTAAACTTGATCATATCTTGCTTATTTATGTCAATATAGTTTTTCATCTTCAATCGGTTTTCTTTTGTTGAGAAATTTATTTAAGATTTTTAATTTCATTAATTAACAAAATGAAACTATTGAAAAGTTATTTTATTCACGTTTGATTTCGCTATGAAAGATCAAATTTTATTCTTTCATAAAACAGTCAGAAGAACTTAATCGATCAAAGCGGTGTTACAGTTTTATCGAAAATAGATGAGAAAGGTAATGCTTGAAAGCATAGTAATAGTTCGTTGATTCAAGAAGAAAACACGAGTATTTTTACGATGAGCAGTGATTATTTCCATCTCCGACATACAATATATTCTGAGAAAAAAATCTATGTCATATACTTTTATTCATAACTTGAAAATAACACGTTTCGATATAAGTTAAAAGAGTCGAAGAAAAACAAATTATAATAACGAAAAGGAAAAAATACGATACGATCATATATGAAAGAAATTACCACGTGACCATATATGTGATTAATCTAGCGTACGAATAGTTTGTTTGTTCGCTTACAAGTGGTATAGGTGAAATTCTGATTCACATCGAAATAGTTACAAAATATTACACGTTTCATTTAGGTAAGCTAGTTTTTTGAAATAATATAATAAATAGAATATTACATAGTAACTATGTTGAGAATGAGAGTGATGATTAATGATAACAGTAAGACTGGATGAAAATAAACATGACGATACAATTAAATGAAGGAGTGATTAATATATCATCCGTTTTGAGAGTTAAGTTATGGGTGCAAATTTGTGTTTAATCTTTACCTACATCAAAAAAATTGTTTGTATTTTTATTTAAAATTGAAACGAAATTAATTTGCAGTTTTAGTTCAACTATCTTACATATCACATCAGTTTTATCATAAGAAAAATTCTTTTTCGATTTCTTCTAGAAATTTATACTCAACAACGTGGCAATGACAAATAACAAAACACATTGTTTGACATGTAATAAAGATAAAATAACATATCTTTGTGAAGGATGTTTGAAAAACTTTTGTTTAATGGATTTAACCAAACATCGTCAAATATTAAATGAAGAACTACATCGTATTATTAATGATTATAATCAATTTAAACAAACATTTAATGAACAAAAACCGAATCCACATGATCTTTTTTTAATAGATCAAATTAATCAATGGAAAATAGATTCAATTGAGAAAATTCAACAGAAAGCAAAAGATTGCATAGAAATTGTCATTAAATCTTCACAAACATTTTTCAATGATATTAAAATGAAATTTAATGATTTAAATAAACAATTAAAACAAATTCACAATGAAAATGAATTTAATGAGATTAATTTAAATTATTTAAGAAATCAATTAATAAAACTTAGGGAAGAATTGAATAATCCACCAAAGACTTCTATTCAACAAGATTCTCATTCATTTATTAATGAAATTTCAATTATTTCATTAAAAAAAAGTAAGTTTTTTAAGAAATAATTTCTAAAAGAAAAGTGATACAAAAATCGAGAATATTATTGATTAAGTTGATAAAATGTGTTCCTACGTGGAAGAAAATAAGGATAGTATATGAAATAATACTAAATTAAGAATCCCTTTAGATATTTTATATTAAAGTTCTTTAGAAATTAGAAAACATTGAAAACTAATCTTTTCTAGAACCAAAATTCAACAAATGGAGACAAAATGGCATCACTGTGGCTGGTAGAAATAGACAAGGACAAGAATTAAACCAACTCAATCGTCCTCATGGAATCTCTATTGATAAAAAGAAAAATATTTTCATTGCTGATTGGTTGAATCATCGTATTGTTGAATGGAAACATAATGCAGAAGAAGGACACATTATTACAGGTGGAAATAAACAAGAAAATCGAATAAATCATTTGAATTCTCCAACAGATGTAATTGTTGATCAACAAAATCATTCGATCATCATTGCGGATTCTGGAAACAGACGAGTGGTTCAATGGATGAATCAAAAGCAACAAATTCTCATTCACAATATTCACTGTCATGGCTTGGCAATGGATAAACATGGATTTCTTTATGTCTCTGATTGTGAGAAGAATGAAGTCAGACGATGGAAAATGGGAGAATATAATAATGAAGGAATTGTAGTAGCTGGTGGAAATGGCAGAGGAAATCAACTCAATCAATTTAATTCTCCTACTTTTATCTTTGTGGATGAAGATCAATCTATTTATGTATCAGATCAACACAATCATCGTGTGATGAAATGGAGAAAAGATGCAAAAGAAGGAAGAATTGTCGCTGGTGGAAATGGTTATAGAAGAAATCTCAATCAATTATCTAGACCTCAAGGAGTAATTGTTGATCATTTCGGTCACATCTATGTCGCAGATGGTGGAAATCATCGAGTAATACGTTGGTGTGAAGGAAAAGAAGAAGGTGAAATTGTTGTTGGTGAAAATGGTTTAGGAGATCGATCAAACCAATTGTATCTTCCCTGCGGTTTATCTTTTGATGATGATGGAAATCTTTATGTTGCTGATTCGGGAAATTATCGAATTCAAAAATTTGAAATAATTCTGTGAATAAAATTTTTTGTTAATGAAAAAAATCGATAAATAAAATTTCAAGAAAAAGAAATATTTTGATTTCTTTTTTCAACATTGCATTTTGCACAAGAAAAGAAAATAATGAGATGTGGGTGTCCTCTTTAGATTAACAAGGGACACACAGACGTATTTATATCTTCAATATTCTGAGTAGTCACAGTTATTCGTCTTTTGATATAAAGTACTAATTAACATAATAATAGCAAGTGCATAAGGATCTTTATGAACAATTAATGGAGAAATAAATGTAATACTTATTCACGACAGTACTTTTACCTAAATAAAATTTATCAAAAAATACGATAGTGTGTTTGGTTTTATTGTGTAAATGTAAACCATGATTACTCAGGTATGCAAAATGACAGTGATAAATAACAGAAAGAATATTTTTTAAATCAACGTTTTATAAATAATATCTACTATCTACAATACTAAAAACTATTCACATTTCAATAATACATTCGATAGATCAACGTTTATTTTATTTTAATCGCGAAAAAGCATCACAAGTTATATAAAACTTTCGCTTGTTTAATCAGATAATTGATAAAATCTTTTTTTTTATTGATTAAGAAAAATCTATTGCCAAAGTAAATGTTGCAATAAATCCAAATAATATTGGAGGTATTAAATATTCGCATTTACAAATAAATTTATAATAAACTTTTGTTTGAATTTCACCTCGAAATCTTTCTTCAATAAATCGACATTGTCGAATTAAAATAAAATAAAAACTAATTATTAAATATAATGAAATATTTGAATATCAAAGCCTCCATAAGAACATTCCAGTAATAATATATAATAGAATAAGGAAAAAAAAGAAATGTATAATATTTAACCTTGATTTCGATAGTCATTAACTAGTAGAAGATTGTGAGAAGTGGAATATAAAAAGAATTTTATTTTCTTATAAAACATTTACAGTGACCTATTAAAGAACTGAGCTCACAAGAGAATGACGGCTATAATCAGAACTAAGTAGGGTGAAGTCAAAACTTGAACTCAAATCAATTAAATATTCACTTAAAAATAAATATTTCAATCAATTTATGTACATTCCAGTGTAATCATAAGTAATTAGATAAATCAGATAGTATAAAAACAATTTAGATATTGATGGTAAGATGAAAATATGAGATTAGATGATTACTTACATATCAACATCCTAGATTATGATTTCAAAGCATTAATGTTAGAATTGCACATTTATTCTTTTAAAAAGACTGAAAAAGTAACAAATGAAATAAAATTGATTAGAAATTGAAAATTTTCCTTTTTTTTTTTGTATAAAATATTAATTGCCATATGGTTTCAATTGATAAAGATACCACAAAAAATGCTGAAATAAACATACATTCAAATAATATAAACCATTACACAAGTCGGCGTCTAGATAAAGATTGTTGTAATGCCGTTTGCAAAACTTTTGCCCGAATACCTTCGACTTCGTGTCTACAATTTGGACATTTATTGCTCTGTCTTAATAATCCCAACATACATTCATAATGGAATAAGTGAGTACCACGACATGGCCAATTTACATATAACTCATTGAGTTGTAGATCTTCCCGACAAGGTGTACACTTAATTTGTTTGTTCACCATATCCATATTTACAACCTGTTTATTACGTTCATGCTTCAAGCGAAACTGAGCAATAAATTCAGCTGTAGCTGGTTTAGGAGGAGTCGTAAATAGATAGGTCAAGATTTCAATAGTGCTTTGTCGCTCGATCTTGAAACGTTGATAATTTTTTTCTTCATGGATTAAAGCTGATAAATTATTGTTATGCATGGTTGTCATATTTGCTCGTGAACGTTGTTTACAAGTATTTCTATGAGTAATATTATCAAATGTCGAAAGTTCATTTCCACGGTACTGCAGTAGATTGTTATCTGGTTCATATCGAAGACGTTGTTCATATCTAGAAAACAGAATTTATATTCATGAGAAAGTTTTGCCAGGGATGAATTAGTATGTTTTAGAATAACATTCTTCATGATATTTAATAATCTATATCCTCCATTGTTGATGCAGATCATTTTAATCTCATACTTAACAATCGATCCATGAAATGAATGAATATCAATCGTTTTACATTTTTGTAACGATAAACTTTAATTATTATTTGAATAAAAAACAATGTTTATTACATCATATGATTTATTTTGAACCGTTTTAGAATTGATAAGAAAATAACTATCTTGTTAAAAAAAAGGTCTTCTAATAATGAATCAAATAATCAATTAGAAAACATGACAACTATTTAAAATAAGTTATATTATAATAAATAGTTTTCTATACTCGTCATAATGTATGTAAATACAAAGATTTATCTATGCATCTTTCTTCTCTTATATAATTGAATTCAAAATGCTTTACTATATTTTATCTTACCGTTGTTTATAGATATCACTTATTTCTATTAGTTGCAAATGTAGCCAATTCGCATACTCATCTGCACCTGCTGCTGTGGCTGACCATCGAATCCATGATGAATCTTTACCATAACAAATTCCATCAACGTATGTTATTTTTCGTATATTACCAACAGCACAGACGATAAATGGTGATGATTCATCGGCAAAATCTAATTCCTCATTTCCATTCGTTTTTAACATAATGACAAATAATTGATCAAAATCATTTCTAATAATTACAAGATTTTTAGTATATTTGTATGAACTCTGCTTAATAAGTCTATCCAATTCTAGTAGTTGCTCATGTGGAAAACCATCGATGTTCAATGGCAAAAGATTTTCAATGACATCTGCAGATAATTTCAATGAGAATGAATATATTCCGAATGGATAAAAATATCTGAACTTAATAATATTTGATAAATAAATAATGAAATAAATTAAAGATTTAAGAAATAACCAAATGAATATTATACCATAAAATAGCAATAAATAGAAAGAATAATACCTATGTGTCATATTTAGTGCTATATCATTTGATGTAAATATATGTTCACCTCTTCCAGTAAAAGCTTTTTCATGTAGGGGTCGATAAAGATATCCAATTAAAACTCCACATTTTGTTAATACTGCTTTATTAAATTCTGTTGAATTCATTGCATATTGCTCATTAATATATTGAATATAATGAGATTTTTCAGTCCATGTTTGATATGTGTACGCTGAATTTAATGGTAAATTTCTTACAATGCATTGTAATGTTTCAATTGAATACGATTCAAGATAAATTGGATGATGTATATGAAAATAATTTTGTGAACTTGTAGGTAATTTAACATATATTGCTGGATGTGTAATTCTTTTATATGTGGCAATATGATTCTCACGTGTTCGTGGATTTGAATATCGTCGAATAGTATCATATTTATTTATTGAGTTTTGAATATTATCTTCATTTAATTAAACTTGAATATATTCAATTCTTCCAAATTGCGATAAGAATGATCGATCATTTTTATATTGTTTAATATATTCTACAAATTGTTTTTGATTGAAATGAAAAGGTCCATAGATTGTATTATAAACTTGTACATGTAATTGAAAGTAAAATACATCGATCAAAGTCCATAATAAAAGAAAAATGAATGTATAGAGGAAATGTTTAAGATATATACGTTGTTTTAACAGATGATGATTTATGTTAAAGTGATCTATTGAATGAGTGATTGGATAATTAGAAATAGGGTATTTACGACGATTTTGAAATGAATGTAAATAAAATGATTCTTGATTTGTTGATGTCATGTTTCTGCAATGTATAATATCCAATGAGTTGTTAACTTATACCTCTTTTGATATTTGAAATGATGAAAGAAAAATCTAGTTTCATTAATTATATAAAATCGAAACAAGCCAGAATAATTTTTTCATTTTTTT